AGGGACAACTACAGGAACTCTGGTCTAAGACCAACTCTTTGAGGTTTTGAGACTACACCCATCAAGCTGAAGAAGATCAAGAAGGGACACGAGGAGAATATGATAAAACAGGAGGGAATGTCATGGAAATTTTGTATTGTTGGTTGAACTTTAAATGTGTCATATATGAGTGTTATTCATATATGTCTCTCGTGTGGCTTAATTAAAGCTCTGAAGGCTGCAATTGGGCCATGCGCATGTACAATGTATGTATTACAGTACTCAGCTCGGTAATAGATGAGATGGCAGATCTGCGCTTATAGACCAGCGTGTATACCACCACGGCATTCGATGCAAATGCCACCGGCCTGTATCCACATATCAGCAGCATAGTACCACATGGACTTCATAACGCTAGGCGCCAAGCAGTACGAACTCTGGGTGTAGGCTTATGCATATCTTACAACTCATTACCGACCTGAACTGTATCCGGATGGATGTGTTTTAATAAAGATCGTATCGGGCCCATCCAGGTACAGACTGATGTTTCTAGGGAATGCTTGTACAAGGAATTTGCATACCAATAGGAGCTAGTAGGACAGGAAGTATGCCCTCCATAGAGGGCTCATGGGGGGAAGGGGAGGAAGTCTGCTGACCTCAGAGGGCTCATGGGGGAGGACCAGTGATAGATAATAGGAAAGGCTATGCTCCAATCGGAATGTATATCCTGTGTATAGGCACTCCCCCATTGCATTGTTCGGTGGGAGGGGATTGACTTTATTCATGTGGGGGGCGTGTGTGTATTTGTAATAAAACCAGAGGGTGAGAATGAAAGCTCTCGCTATGTGAATTCCAACAGCAACCTGAAAGTGTCGTGTGATCATTTCCAGGTATAGGGAGCTCCATCCCCCACATTTCAACAGAAGCTAACCCAGTTGGATGGGCAGGAATCGTGTAGTTTAGCTGCAGTCGTGGTAAGCGAGATTCGCACAGCTTTATGGGGGATTTCTGCGCATCCAACTGCGAGTACTCACGGTAAGGAGAAATTCGTCAAAGCGAATTTCCAAGACATGTGACAGCTTCTATGTGTGTTTTTTAAGCAAAGGATTTTATGAACTGATAAATAAATATATAAATTTTGATTTATTGGTACCTAAAAACCCCAAGGTAATACAATATTGGTGTGGGCCGTTATAGAAGAGACGATGGTACCCGTTGATGTTGATACACATGCTCTGGAGAGCTCTTTCATTGTTACGGTATGTGAATGGGTTTTGAAACCCGTGTCCTTTAAAAAGGAGGTTATTGCAATACCAATAGTGTAGTTTATGCTGCGTCCAGAGTTCCACTTTAAGAAATAATTTTTGTTACAATAAACATTTCCATTAGACTTGATGTCTGAAACCTACAGAAACGGGATATTGTTAGGGAAAGGATTTATTTCCCTCATATAGGCTCAGAATATATCAAGCTGTATGATTTTCACAGACAGTGTCAGTGACAGGTTACCCCGGCAGAGCATATTTGGCTGTGGGATCATTAAAAAATAAGAGACATTAGATGATACAGCAATACAACATTAGTCAGCAGCAACATTTTTTATGAGAGAGAATTGGCCAAAATGTACTAGAGAAAAAGAATGCATCCAGGTGTTTTACTTTAAGAATTAAGAGGCTGCAGATGATACAGCAGTGTGAAATTGGCTAGCAGCAGGATACTTTTTAACCACTTGTGGATTGCCCAGCTGTAATGTACTGTGGACAGGCGGCCTGTACATGCAAAGGTACCTGTATGTCGCTGCTTTCTCTGGGTACAGGACACGAGCCCCCATCCGCCTACTCCCCCTGTGATTAGTACACTGTGGGCGTTTGTCAGAAGGTCCCAGCAATGTTTTATGGCTGGGATATGCTGTGTCCAATCACAGCCCAGAGCTCTGTGTTGACAATCAAAGGGAACAATCTCTCTGTTTCTTCTCCCTGCAAAGCAGGAAGAAGAAACATAGATATTTAGTACCATACATTAACACTTGTTAGGCACCCCTTCCCAGCCAGTGTCATTACTACAGTGACAGTGTGTAGTATTATCACTGATCACTGTATTAGTGTCACTGAAGATGTCAGTGGCGGTTAGCCAGTTCCCACCCAGCATCAGTTAGTGTCAGATTGTCCACACTATCACAGTCACACTATAAGTTAGTGACCACTTCCATTACTAGTATAAAAAAAGTAAAGTAAATATACCATCATTTGTAGACGCTATAATTTTCACACAAACCAATCAAAATACACATATTGGGATTTTATTTTACCAAAGACATGTAGCAGAATACATTTTGTCCTAAACTTATGAAAAAATAACATTTTTTTAAATCTTTTATTAGATTTATTTTATAGCAGGAAATAAAAAATATTGTTTTTTTATTTCAAAATTTTCATTTTTTCGTATATATAAAAACAAAAAAAAAAAAAAAAACACAGTGGTGTTTAAATACCACCAAAAGAAAGCTCTATTGGTGTGAAAAAAATTATACACAATTTTGTTTGGGTACAGTGTTGCATGACTATGCAATTACCAGTTAATATAGTGCTAAATAGCAGAAAATGGCCTGGTCATGACGGAGGTAAAACCTTCCAGAGCTGAAGTGGTTAATAGAGAAGACTTGGCGTTGGTAAGTTAGAGTCCCCGCCCCCCACCTGGGGTTTTTCACCAACTTGAACATCAACCTGTTAAATGAACAAAGAAATGCCTTTCTGGTGTCTTGGAGTTTACCGTATTAGGTATGCAGAAGTCTAGTCTGAGAGTAGACTGCTTAAAAAAAAAAACCCATGTATCATTTATGTAGATACTAGTGTGAAAATAGCCCTCATGGAATGCCAATCCCTTCACTGGCTTCCGATTGCGCAACGGATCGAATTCAAAATCCTAACACTGACGTACAAAGCTGTCCACCATACTGCCCCGAACTACATCACTGACCTAATATCCAAGTACCACCCAGCACGCACACTCCGCTCCTCACAAGACCTCCTTCTCTCTAGTTCCCTGGTCTCCTCCTCCCATGCCCGCCTCCAGGACTTCTCTAGGGTGTCACCCATCCTCTGGAACTCCCTGCCCCAACCCATCAGATTATCACCTACTCTCCTCTCCTTTAGGCGCACCCTGAAAACCCATCTCTTCAGGGAAGCCTACCCCACCCCCTGCTAACTTGCCGACCTCCTCCACTCTTCCTACCACTCCATCCCCCACAGCTATCTCCTCCTGTGCCACCATCCTCTCCCTCCTAGATTGTAAGCTCGAAAGAGCAGGGCCCTCAATCCCCTCATGTTTTGCATTGTATTGGTATTGTTCTGTCACATGTTCTGTCCCCCTTTGTAATGTACAGCGCTGAGCGAACTATTGGTGCTTTATAAATACTGTATAATAATAATAATAATAATAATGGCCCACCTCTACATTACATATACTAGTATAATAGTGTTTATTGTACATTTGGATACTTCTGAAAGCTAAGCATATTTGTGTAGATAAATTCCAGGGGCAAATCTTGAAGATCTAGGACTATCTCTGGAAGCCCAAGGCTACCAGGACTATACACTTGGTTTGCAATGATGGGATCTTTCACAGCCACAGTATCTCTGCATTTAGCATACAATATCAAATGAATGGGCAGATGAGATGGAGGAATCACTGGTACAGCAGAGCTGTGATAAGAAATGCAAGACAAGAAAATAAACAGAGATGGCCGTGATGCTTTATAATATGGAAAAGATTAAAAATCCAGCAGTGGGAGTGGAACTTCCTTATAATAAACAAAGCTGTTGTGTAGCTCTAGGATCGACACCCAAATTCCTGTGTGATGTTGGAAATCTTTTCAATGATTGAAATTGTATCTACAGCCATTTCTTTTTTTTCTTTTAGTTTTGGATAGAGTAGGGAAGACTGGAGTGGATTAAAAATAGTTATGTCAGATCTTTTTCATACAGGTTAGGCAGGATACGAAGGAGGAGAGGGGAGGGAACATTTTTAGGATATAATTAGGCTGTATTGGAATACAGTGTTCTTGTATTTTATGTGAGAACTACATCAGTATTCAGTAGAGATATATTCTCCAACCAGTAGATGGCGGTGTTCATATACGTTTGTAGCTGCTTCTGTGGTCTTTTCACTACATATAGTTTCCTGTTTCCTTGTTGCAGTGAACTAGAAAAGCACATGTGAACTGTGCACTGTCTGTTCTGTAGAGCTATATACTGAATTTCTAACATGTTATGGGCCCAGGCCCAGTCATAGCCTACTACAGCATATAAGTGCAAGATACAGCAAGAGAAAGAAGAATGCAACAGAATAAAAGAAAATGGACAGTAACACAGCTGCAGCAAAGCTTTCATTTGAATACTTGACAAACGAGAGCTACCAGTCTTGGGAATTCAAAATGAAAATGCTGCTAATAAGAGAAGGTACGTGAAAATGTATAAATGAAGTCAGGCCTTCAGGCGAGTTTCTCTTAGCATGGAAGATGATCAAATCATACATATATGTGTGAAACTGCTAAAGAAATGTGGGAAGGATTACAAAAGGTACATGAAAGAGCTGATCTCAGAAATAAAGTGTATTTCATTAGAAAGCTGTACCAAATCCAGCTGATCAAAGGCCAGGATATTGGAAATATAAACACCTGAGAGGTATAGAAGAAGATATAAAAGATTTCAATTTTTTTCATGTCACAGCACTATTACTTAATGGTTTACCAGAAAGTTATAAAACGCTTGTCACAGCACCTCCAGATGATGAGCTGACATTGGAATTTGTTAAGGGAAATTTTGTAGATGAATATAAGCATAAAACAGAACGCATTAACAATGACAGTGCTTCTGTCACAGAGTCTGCTTTAAAGACAAAAAAATAGGAATTAAAACAGTAACGTGCAACAAGAAAGAGTGCTGAGACTCCCATGCATAGTGCTGGATCATGCTAGGGCTCAGGTAAGTATTAGGGGGAGCTGCACCCTGAAAGTTTTTTACCTTCATGCGGGGGCGGACTGACAACTCATGGGGCCCTCGGGCAATAGGGGATCATGGGACCCTGTGTCCTTGCCCAAACTCAAAAAAGCCTATGAAAAAAGGTACCAGGGGCATCTCATGGGGCCCCCCTACTGACCCCGGGCCCTCGGGTTTCCGAGTTTCCAAATGGTCAGTCCGCCCCTGCCTTCATGCATACTGTACATTACATGAAGGTAAACCTTCACCCTTTGCAACCACTTTAATAGGCTGCTTGACTTAAAGTGACACTAAAGGTTAGTTTGTTTTTTATTTAGTAACAAACATGTCTATACTTATCTGCTGTAATGGTTTTGCACAGAGAAGCCCAGATCCTCTTCTTTTCAGGTCCCCACCGATGCTCCTGGCTCCTCCCCCTTGAGCAGTGCCCCCAGGGGAAGCCATTCACCTTTGAGGCACCGCTGTGTGCTCATCCCAGAACCGCATCCATAGGTCATATAGAGCCATGGCTTGGCCCCGCCCAGCTCTCTCCTCATTGGCTCACTGGCTGTGATTGACAGCAGCGGGAGCCCATTGTCTCAGCCAGTGGAGGAGGAGGAGTCCCCAAACAGCAGAGGCTGTTGAATACATCACTGGATCAATGGTAAGGGTTGGGTGGGGGCTGGAGGGCTGCTGCACACAGAAGGTTTTCACCTTCAGGCTTTAGAACCACTTTAACATGCATGTTCTAACGTGCTGCACAGGTATGAAAGAGCCTTTAAACTGAATTGCTGTGGGCTACTGCATGATGTACTACTGTATTTTCTGAGTAAGCCTGACTATGGAGGCATGGCAATTTGTAGTCCTGATAATATAATTTATATTTTATATATATATATATATATATATATATATATATATTCAGTATATCATACGAATAACTTAAAATTCAGTGAATTTGCGGAAAGACTTTTCCCAGCTATGTCAACTTATATCAGGCATTGAAAACTATCTGTGAAAATATTTCAGGCGTTCAGGGTAGGGCCTTGACAGATGAACCAGCTTGGCTAAAAAAAGGAATACTATCCGTGGAACAGGCAATGAGTTCCAGCTGAGGAGTTTATTAAAAAAGAAACCAGCGCCCATTATACACAATAAAATAAGAACATTCAGTACTTGTTGCACTGTTAAATAATTTTCTAAAGGGAAAGTATTTGATGTAATGGAAAGTCTACAAGGTATATCACTCACTCAAGGCAGGGCAATTAGCATTTGTGGGCATTTTTTAAGAACAATAAACTAAGATTTACAGTTATATTAATTAATTATAATTTTAGAAGTCAATTAGAAAAATAATACATTGAATCTTGGGTGAAAGTTGAGTTAATCTTGTGACTTAGGTGAAAACATTGATTGCTACCTACTCCTACTCTAATTCTTGTGTTGTGTAGTTGGGGCTAAAAGTAGAACTAAAGGCAAAACGTTTTTTGTCATTTTTGATATTTTTTCCATTTGTGCCCCATTGGGGAGATTTCAATCTCTCCAAAGTTAGGAAATCCCTGATTGTCACCAGAACTAGTGCCCCAATTGGAAGGTTTATCCTCTATTACTGTTCTGATGTCAGCCCAAAATTTTGGATTTTTTCAGGACAAACAGAAAGGGTTAATCTCCCCGCCAGGGGCACAGACAGCAATAAAAACCCAACAGATGTTCTAATCCCTCTCCACACAGAAAAAAACAGGGAATTGTATGAAATACCATAATTTTACTTTCCTGCAGCCAATCCATGGCAGCATACATGTGGTAGTAGGCCCACCTACTTCCACCCACAGGGCCAGTGCATAGCTATAAGGAGTTACCACCCACACAACAGCCCATTCCCTGTACATCACTGGCAGGCATGAACTGGGTGGGTTCAGTATGCTGCCACTGGCGTGAGGAAAGGAAAATTACAGTAAGTATTTGATACAATTTTCCACTTTCCTGACACCAACATGACAGCATACATGTGGTAGACCAATAACTAGATATCATGGTGAGAGGCTTAAGCAAATCCTATCTAAGTGAGTAAGCTACCACCTTCTCGCCAAAGACAGATGTAGTGAGGACTACTGAGTCCATCAGAAATGCTGAAAAAATGGGAATGGGCTGTTGTGTGGGTGTTAACTCTTTAGAGCTATGCACTGGTCCTGTAGGCAGGGCTACTACCGCATATATGCTGCCATGTTGGTGCCAAGAAAAAGTTTTGCCTTTATATACTTTAAAGGGAATGTGTGCTTTGCACATGCAAGGTAACATAACAGGTTAATTTAAAGTGCTTGTAAAGTCAGAACATTTTTTTCCTTAATGCATTCTCTTCATGAAGGTAAAAATGTTGCAGTGGTTGTATCACCCCTTCACCACCCTTGTACTTACCTGAGCCTGATCCCGATCCAGCGCCATGCCCATGTGTGCAGCAGCGCTGCTTTCTCCTCCTCTCCTCACAAGACACAGAGGCAACAGCGGAAGCAATTGGTTACTGCTGCTATCAATCAAATCCTGTAAGTAGGGATGGGGCACAACCGAGCCGTGCTGTGGGTGTCAATGGACACACATAGCCCAGCTCGAGAGCGTGCCCGCAGGTGTGCCACCATAGGAAACAGCTTCCTACAGTGGCACATGAGAAAAGGAGGAGCCAAGAGCACTGGCAGGAAATCCCAAAAGGAGGAGGTCCAGGGCCGCTCTGTGCAATACAGCTACAGGTTAGTATAACATGTTTATTATTTTTGAAAAATTTAAAAATCAGCTATTTCAATCACTTTAACCAACTTTTTAGGTTCAAATGAACAATGTCCTTTGCTGTGAGAGTGGTAATTGACCATGCATCAGAGAATTTGCACAAATGTGCATGTTCCTAGTTTTTAGACTCTCTGCCAGACAAATTATTCACAGGCATTAAGTGCACACTGAAAAGGCTAAACATTGTCTGGGTGTACATACACCCTCCCCAGCTGCATATCTTCGTTTTGGTCATTTTTGCTCCTGGGAGAGAAGAAAGAAAACCAAGGACTCTGTCGTCAATCATATGTGACAGCACTGGGTTGAAGAGCAGCCACTAAGTACTGGTGTTGTCACTAAGGTAGTAAGGGAGTGATTCACATGCTGCCCAATACCTGAAAGTATCAGTTTATTCCTTGTGCCAAACAGAGCATAAGGGGAGCAAAGACAAGACAAGTATGTGAAATTGAAGAGGTGAGCGATCATGTGGCTTTGCCCTTCTTGAGAGAAAGAAAAAGTTCACTCTCACAGAACTTTTTTTTTATACGGTCAGGAAGGGATGGAACCTCTGCCAGGTTTTCATTGTTGCCTGTGTTCAAGTTCTGCTCTGTCTGACACCCATTACTAGAAACTTTTTCCCTCTCTTTGTGCCCATTAGCTATAAGCTTCAGGTTCCGGTAGTTGTAATGATCATATTTGGCCAATGTCATCTCCCAGGATCCCTGACACATATTTTAGCAGTTCTGGGGAGCTGTAATGTAAGATGGGAGTAGCGGTGGGGCAGCATCTTTGTTGCTGCAGCTACTACAATACTGGAAGACATGAATGATGTTGGCTTTCCATCAGGGATATTGTTTTTTTTTCTCAATTTCTCAAATAAAGGGTTTTTTTGACAGTGTGTGTTTTTTTGTTACTACGTCCATCATTTAAAAAAATAGGAAAAAATGGTTAGGGTTCCCCCCCTTATCCACTTACTCCTTCAGATGATTAGTACTTTTTTAAATAAAAAAAAAAAAATGTCCCCCAATGTAAATCCTTCATCAATCACATCACCCAACAATGTTGATCCTTTTCAGTCATGATAAGCAACACCCGATGATATTGATCCATCACTACAATGATACTGCCCTGTCGCTACTCCCATTGCAAATATTGTCACATTCCCCTAGCACTGTGCCAGAATGTCAATGACTTGCTCTGTAACATGCTGCAAGGCAGAGTGATGTGGGAGAGTCAGAGTCCTGGGCTGCCCCGGTTATCCTGGTGCAAAAGAAAGACAGTGACCTACATTTGTATGGACTATCACAAACTCAATGCCTGTCCTTACTGGGATGCCTACCCACTACCTCGGATAGAAGAATCATTGATGGCCCTGGGAGAAGCTAAGCTCTTTTCCAGCTTTGGCCTGGCTATTGGCTACTGGCAAGTCCCAGTCTGAGACCAGGACTGGGGAAAACTGCCTTCATTATGCCTTTGGGGACTGTTTGAGTTCAATTGGATGCTCTTTGGCCTCAGCAACACCTCAAGCATCTTCAAAAGCCTGATGGAAAGATTTCTTAAAGACTTTAACTTTGAGATGGTGCTAATCTACCTTAATGATATAATCATCTTCTCCAAAACATTTGACGATCATGTTAAACATCTGGACCAGGTGTTGGTAAAGAACACCAAACACAGCAAGCTAGAACCGAAATCAGAGCGCACCCCATACTGGGTAGTGGGGCAACCTTTCCCACCTACCTATGTGTATGACTGTCTCTGAGGGGCCTGACCTTGTGAAGAAGGCATGTTAATGAGGATGATGCTCTGCACTGAAATGTACTATCTCAAGTGTAAATTTTCAAAACAGTGCAGTAAATAGAGTTTGTTTTAAAGGAGTAGTTGTCCATGTAATTTAATTGGAAAGGAGGAGGTCATTGAACAGTGTAGTCATGTTGTATCACAAAGAATTGGGTACTGGGAGTGAAGCTATATTTACCCCCCCCCCCCCCAGAGAGTGAGCTGTACAGTAACCATTATATCCTAGTTAACCCTTGAAGCTATGAACAAGTCTGTGTAACGAGTATAAGAAGGAGGAGCAGCCAGTTGGCAGTGGATGCAGTGAGAATGGCAAGTGACAGAGGTCCTGGTAGTGAGGGAATAGTTAGTACTTCCCCACGTAGCTGCAGGGTCCCCATATTAAACCCCGCTGCAGTACAGGGCCTGCCTACAGCCCGAGCCTGGGGTCATGGTGAGCAAGGTGAAGTATGAAGACTTCCATGTATGCCCAAAGGTAGAAAATATTAAAAGTGCAGAGTGAAGATGTGAGATAAGATGCTGGAGTTATGTAAATGCTTAGTCTTACTCAAAATGCTTTGGAGTCATATGTCAAGACAGGTAGGAACAGACTAAGTCAATGGCAGAGAAAATGAAGAAGAAGACAAGGTCCTTCTGCAAAAGCATGATGCTGTAAGTTCACTGTGACCTCAAGC